AATTTTAAATTTAAAATTGTTAGGGTTACTCGCCCTATGTCTAAAGTGCTGCGGCGGCTAGTTCTTGTTTGTAATCAGTATTATAAGGTTACGATTTTTTTTAGTAATCCGCTGACTCCATCTTTACTCCTACCTGAAAACTGAAATGCCAAGTTACATCGAAACGTTTTAAGCACTTACGGAACTATCACTTCACGCGCACCAGTCTCTGCATTTTTGTCGGCCGTTACTTTGTGTTGGGACAGTCTGTGAAAATTTATCGATTTATAATATATAATATATTACTGATTCTTTTTATTAATTTCTTATCATGTCCTGTTTTTTTAATAAATGTCCCTGTTTTAGGTGAAAAATGAAAATATCCAGGTATTTTTAAAATATAGCATGGAAACCGTACCTTATTCCATCAGATTGTGGTTTTCTAGGTTATGGTATCGTATATCACTGAGAGTTTGAGTACTTCTATCATGATGATGGAGGCAGTATATTCCTCCGAAACATTTATTTTCCTCAACAAAAGTTACATTATATCGCAACTCACAAGACTAACATACGAACAACTTCAAACTTAAATATCTCGAAACTTCTATGAGATGAGGAACTTTACAAATACATATGGCGTTCTTGCCTTGAAGCCACAACATATAAGATTTCTGTGTTCACACGCTGCGTCACGACACGCAAACTTCCCATCATTCAAGAAGGATCGTGATTTTCATACCCAGACACAGCAACTTCAGTACACCCCTAACTTCCGGGTGATTAATTATGGATCCATTACTCACCCCCTCTCCTTCTTGGCTGGTAAACCTGCAAGAAACATGCGCTTGGTGGCTTCTAGCTAGAGCTGGAACCAATCACCTAATGCTGTAAAGGTAAAACCACTTCAATTCGGTTAACGAACAACAGCGGCTCAAAAATTCAAAACTGAAGTTTAACTTTACCGATCACAGTGGCCGCGCGGTCTAAGGCATGAACCGTCTTCGCCCTCTCGAACCATGGGATCGTGGGTTCTAATCCCATTCGAGGCATGGATGTCTGTGTGCGTTTATTCTGTGTTTGTGTTGCCCTGTGTGTAGGTAGCGGCCTTGCGACGGGCTGATCCCCCGTTCAAGGAGTCCTACCGACTGTGTATAAGATCAAGAAACTGAAAGAGCGTCCAAGGCCCAGCAAAGGGCTGTAGGGCCATAATAATAAGAGTAATACTACCACCAATAACACTAATAATAAAGACTAGATATTGAGATAAAACTAACACTGGCCCATTACAGTGGCCGCAGGGTCTAAGGCATGAGCTGTTTTCGCTCTCTTGAACACTGAGATTGTGATTTCGAATCCCGTTCGAGGCATGGATATCTGTGTGTGCGTTTATTCTGTGTTTGTGTTGCCCTGTGTGTAGGTAGCGGCCTTGCGACGGGCTGATCACTCGTCCAAGAAGCCCTATCGTCTGTGTAAAAAAGTTGTGATACTGGAGAAGAGGCCAGGGCCCAACGAAGGGCTGTAGAGCCATTGATGGTGAGCTGTTAACTAAAACTATGTAACAGAGTCCTTATTGAGAAGCTGATAAACGCCAACGCCCCGCCGCCTGTGGGACTCGAAGAGTCATTACCGAGTTCACAAGATACCGCCACTGAGCTCTATCCCAAGCAAGGGGATACTCTCCACACATCCGCATTCTGTAACTCTCACACCCAAGCCTGTGTCTCCCATGTGGGCCCATCCCTTTACAATTACCTATTAAAACAACCATTTCATCTTCATTGATTTCATCAGCGTAATGGCATTTGGTGAAGCTCCTCATTATGTTATTTCCTCTGACCTGCTGTTAATTTTTGTGTCTTTCTCCCTTATCGTTAATCTACGTTCTTATTTAAGGTGAGAGACCAAGGTTTACTACTCTATCAACCACAACAAAAAATTAATAATTCTATTTGTTAAAAAAAACCTATTCCTGTAACCGGCCGTGGAGGCCCATAGGGTTGTGAGACATCGAGGGTCCCACATTTTTTGGATATTTGGTTTACAGATGGTGGTGAGGTTGTCAGTCTTACGTGCCGGCCGGCCGGGAAGATTCCTGGTACTCATTTCTGTTGGAGACTGATTCCACTCCAGGACCATTGTGCGACTGGAAGGATTAAGTCAACTGAAAAACTCAATAACCTCATCGGAATTCGAAAGCGCGACCTTCCGGCTTGTAGCATAGTGCTCCTCATGTATTTTAATCTTTACATTTTTCGGCATGATATGGAAACTAAATAGTAGCAGTCAATTTCCGACATAAATTTGCTCTTGTCGTGTTACTGAATACATTTGGTTTGTTACTGTCCTTCCCAAACATTTTAACTTTGCCACACTGCCGAGTTGTCTGTTTCTGTAACTGAGCTCAAAATAATTATTGTGCATTGGATTCTGTATTTATATAGAATATACATTTATATGAAATACATATTAATTTTTAAAAATAAGCACCTTTATTTTCTGTTTTTGATCTTAATAATAAACTTTTCTAGGAACATTTGTAGGTTAAACGAGGGCTGGCTACATCTTCCTTTGATTTTTCACCGATAGATACATTACTTTCGAAATACTTTTAATTGTACTCATTCCACTGTTAATTTATTGTTTATGTTTCCTTAAATATAAATCTCCATCGTCACGAAATCACGTAGTACGTTTCATAATTAAAAATAATCGTTAATATTTATTGCTTCAAATTATAGTAAAAATGAAAATGAAGACTACGAGTTCGCATAGCGAAAATCAGCAATAATTCCTTTCAACTTTCATAAATTTCCTTCAAAGAAGTACATAGCGTAAAAAAAGCCTGTCTGTTACATTCTTAAACCCACTTTCTAACATGCATGAAAAAAGTGTCATTATTTTCGAACAATTGTATGCAACATTGACAGTGCCTTTCTGTTTCAGGTAAAGCATTCTCCATATTAAAAACACACTCTTCTGTGTTCAAGGATGCCAACGGCCATCAAGAGGGGCATTCTGAAACACGTGAAGAAGGTCAGTATACACAAGTGACCGCTGAGTGCTAGAAAGGTCACAGGTCAACATCAGTGCAAGGCGCCCACTGCTGAGGAGCGAGATGAAACCGCTTTGTTCTCGTATAAGTAACACAAGGAGTGCTGTGGTCCAACCATGCCTCGGTTTAAACAAATAAGCATATGTCGGGGTTTCTTGATTCGGATATGCGGTGTTACGAAACTCGTCTATTTGTGTGACGTGTCTTATATCCTCTAACTCCAGAAGGTGTCATTCCCTTCAGGGTTTCTCACAGGAATACTGTATAAATTTTTGATCTCGAAATGCACGTGAAAGCGATGCTGAACTGAGGAATAAGGGAAAATTCTTATATGACTTTAATTTCTGTAATGGCTTTCTCCTATTTGTCAGTATACATTCTCTCTTGCAACGCCTGGGTTCAATCCCCTACAAATTAGTTTCTTTAACCCAGGTTCCATATTCCGTGGAAAGTTCGGCTATAAATTTTGAGACATCATGTGCCATATGTAAGTAAGTAGAGTTCATAGAAGCAGAATTTTATATGATCGTTCTTCTAACCGACGTTTAAGAACAAGAAATGAGAGATATAAAAGACACAGTTTATTTTAGAACAAAAAATCTCTTCAACGCTACGAATATAAGACGGAACTGCGTCGTACGTTCCAGTTGCGGAAATGATCTGACTTGCTGGAAACTCAGCAAAGTTTTCTGAAGTAGACAACGCATTGAAATACTTTTACTAAACCTGGCACAAGAAAGAAAAAAAAAAAAGAACTGACGTTTCTACATAGCAGACTCCCTGAAAGAAGGACGCCAGAGACTGAACAGAGCTGTTACGTCGATTTCAGTTCAACTGAAAAAGAAACCGGACCGAGCCGCCGAGGCAAGAGCCACCTTCACAAGCAAAAACGTTACGTTAAATTTAATACTGATACGCTCGAGCAAAACACTTCTGGGCCTGCATACTATACAAGTACAAAACAAGTTCTATAAAAATACATTAAATAACTAACATCCTCCTGTAATAACCCGATGGTTCAAAATATAAATGCACGTCACTGAATCTGGTACTGAGCCAGTGTAATACAGTAATCATCCTCACTTCCCTTTTTCTTAAAGTTTGTTTTAATATTATCCTCCCAGAATCTGAATCTATAACCCAGAACAAATCAGTAAGCACGTCAAGATCAGTCTTGAATTGATTGGGTGCGCAAGGCTCTTTCCCCGATGGTGAAGCAGTCGGAGTGTAAAGCCTACCATTCATATCCATCCAACATTAAGAATATGGGGGACTACACCTCCACTCCTCCATAGGTCTAGGCCTCCATGGAGCGATACTTAGGGTGCAGTGCAGTGCAGTGGCAACTTTCTCTTGTACGGCTTCATCATTTCATTCTTCTAATGTTTCGGAACCCCTAAATTCATCAGTTCCAGAGCAGAAACCGGCAATTGACCACAATTCACTCTATTCCATACGTTCGAACTTGTTTTTCGAAAGAGCTCGCATCTTTCTTAGGTAAAAAAAAGGTAAAAGCATCCCTGTAAGAGGCCGTGGAGGCCCAGTGGCTAGTGAGATATCGAGGCTCTCACATTTTCTAGAGAGTCGGCTCACAGACGGCGGTGAGATTGTCAGCCTTACGCGCCGGCTCCCCTTTACCCCCAGGGAGATTCCTGTTACTCATTTCTGTTAGAGGCTGAGTCGGTCCNGCCCTTTACCCACAGGGAGATTCCTGTTACTCATTTCTGTTAGAGGCTGAGTCGGTCCCAGGGCCATTGTGCTGCTGGAAGAATTAGGTCAATTGAAAAATCCACTGACGTCATCGGGAATCAAAATGGCGACCTGCCGGCTTGCAGCATAGTGTCTCGACCAACTACACTACCGCGTACCCCCCATCCTTCTTAGGTGGACGCGATAATGTCTGTGCTAGTCTATGTGTTCTCTATGTGGAGCACTGCACCCCGTGACTAAGTAAACGTATATTAAAGCAGTTCGGATAAAATCCTTACCACTTCATTTCTGCTGCCACCTGAAGCACTGTTTCATTGTTTTTCTCCAGTGTTAAGGGGCCCTTATACGTACGAATCTGGCTCGGGCGTCCGACTTGGCTCGGGCTCCAATGAGCGAAAAACGTCCGTGTGTGGGTAGCCACGAGCCGGGCTGGGCCGAGGCCGACGGGGCTCGCCAGGGCCTTCGGTGGGACTCGCCTCGGCGACGGCTCGCTATTGGTTCGTACGTGTGTGGGCGGTCCCGAGCCAGACTCGCGTATCTACACGTCACACGAACAGACAGTGTGATGAGTTGTGGTACTACGGAGGAACCATGTCGGCTTCCATGTGTAACAAAACATTCATGAGCCCGGAGTTTTTGACACGGTTTTTAGGAGAGTACTGTGAATTGCCGGTTCTGTCGCAGGTTCGCAGCACAGAGTATTCGAACAGGGGAAAGCTGGATGAGGCCTGGGATTTATTCGTGCAGTTCACGGGAGAGGAACTCCGTGATGCTGACTTGAATTTTGTTAAGATAAAAGTGGACAGTATCCGGGCCGCAACTTGTTTCGATGAACTAATTCTGGATACTGAAATGTGCGAGCAAAGTTGAGAGTCAGCTCATGCGTGTGTGGTGAAATCAATCCGAGCCCGGCTCCCAAGTCAAGCTCGCCGAGCCGGACTCGTCCGTGTATGGGTCCCTTTACTCATTTTATAAATGCTGTGACATCATTACATCCGCGCGTCTCTTGCCAAAACAACTTTGGAACAAATAAAGGGATTTTCATGAAACTTCATAGGAACATCACACCGCTAGGAGCCACCTCATCATTTCACTAGCAAATTCCCTTCCACCCATGACACCAGCATGGCTGTAATTTTCGAGGTGGGAGCTTCATATAGCCTGAAATTTTCTGTGATAACAGGTGTTAGAAACATAATCTAGTTCTCGTAGTGCAGTAAACTTCATGATCGGTGGATAGTTCTACGTAATTCCAATTGATATCGCCAATCGTAGTTTCCCGATCTGTAGGACAAGCTGGACGGAACTATGCTTTGTGCTATAAAGTAATCATAGACCTTGCTATCAACTGCAGAGACCTCTAATTATAATAATGATTAAATTAAACTCTAATCACTCTTTTGGTATATCTAAACTACTGTTAGGACTTTTACATTCCTATTTAGATGCTAAAATGTGGATTTTCATCTCGGCTCTTCCTCGCACAGCTCTGAATTTAACTGCCCTCATTTTCATGTCTGCCTCTCTTTATTTTCGTGACGTAAAAGTGGGCTTACTTTCAGTCTTTGTGAAGGGTATAAAGCTGCTTGCTCATAAGACATGAATAAATAAGTCTTCATACAGTTGAAGTCTAATATTTAAATATAAGCATTTATTTCTTTTAATATTAAAATTTTCATGCCTGCAAACTAGTTCCTCAAGTATACCACTGCTCACATTCCATCAGATAAGGTTCGACCACACAGAGCGCTACGTACGCTATGTTAGCTACACGAACAGAAAAATATCTCCCTTTATTGCCAATGTGACTGGCCACACAGACTTCCGTACGCTACGTACGCTATGTTCTCTATGTTAGCTGCGTCGCAGAGTGTACGCAGCGTACGTAGCGTACGTAGCGAACATAGCGTAGCGCTCTTTGTGGCCGAACCTATACAAGCGGTTAGTCTTCAGCTACCTACTCACAGCTCTGACATCATATCTTAATAGATCTGCCCTCTTGCATGTTATAGCTTAAACAGTTCCTGCAGTTTTACTGTGAGTTGTCTTCACTGCATGCATAATCCCTTCTGATACATTCTTACCTCACAATCCCTCAGGCTGGCTTGGGTTCAATATTATTTTCAACCACCCAGAGTCAAGCTCACAAGGTTCCAACAGGATTGCAGATTCTGGCTCCGTCTGGCTCTCCTCTTTACACAGACACAACTTTTGCTCACACAGTTGTCTGACTGCAGGCGTCCGTCCCCACCGAACGGGATAGTTCGATTGCTTTACCAATGGCAGCTCTGTCATCTGCCTGTCCCAGGAGGTCTTACTCCCTTCCCTTTTACGTAACAATTTAGTTGACTTGCTGGGAAATTTTAGCCGCATGAACTAAAAACTGCCACTATCTAACATACTTAAATACGTAAATGGCTTTACTACAGTCACTGTTCCTTATGAGAAATTGCTGCACCACACTTAACGTAATTTTTACAGTATGAAATAATATGGTGACCACGAGATAGACACATAAATCTTTTCATTTGATAGCGATGCGTAATGAACCACTGGAGTTACACACGTGAAAATGTGTAGAGCATATAATTGTCCATAAGTTCTTTATTTAAAAAAAAAAGCGTTTATATAAGTGTACTGCTAAGAACTATAATCATAGGAACCGCATGAAAAGTTGAGGTTACGCGTTCCATATTATTATGGTCAAAAGAGTTATATTTTCTTGGATAAAATTCCATGTAGTCCGCTTAAAGACAGCCGAGTTTCGCAGAAACTTGTTAGCTCCATCTTCAAGGTTGAATAATTAAACCAAGCAAGGAACCAACGTGAAGCAGGCAGAAAGTGCGACTTTCAACGGACTACACGGCGTCATATCCCAGAAAACAGAGCTCTTAACAACCACCGATGTGAGAATTTTATATTCTAAACATTACAGTCATAGTTGTTTCTACCGTAAACAATGCATACAGATTTATCACAATATTGCTCACTTATTAATTTTATATTTCTATAAGACCCAAAATATAGATTGAAGCTTTTAAAAGAAAACAGGCATAATAATGTCACTAGTTTATGGCTCCGTTACTAATAATAACGGGTTTTGGATTAAATTTATTAACATCTTCTTGTACAGTCACTCGTAATCACAATAGATTACAATAACTCGCAATGAATCTTCAGCCGAACACTTCTTCCTTGACCGCCTAGGACTCGCTCCATTCGCATTCTAGTTTGATTCTGTTCTGTACACTTATACAGTCTCGAGGCACAT